ACATAAAAAATGAAAAAAAAGGATATCCTATCTTTGGATCGATTATCAAATCCGAACTAGAATTTTGCATTATAGATCTCAAATGAGTGATTCGGGCACGAATCACAAAGAATTAATTATTGGGTTCAGATCCGAGAATTTTGTTTGAGCGGGTCCGGGTTCAAAAAAATTTAACCAACCGGGTCCGGATCCGGTCCGGGTTTGAATAAATTTTTATCATCGGGTCCAGGTCCGGGGCCAAAAATCATGGACCCGATGGGCTCTACTGGGGATATCCTGCGCCGACACAGAAAATCGATTTTTTGTGCTAATGCGCAAACGTCGCGCAAATTTTTTTCAAATATAGTTCATTATAGAGAGCTGCGTTTTTTTTTATTTATTGGGGCACTCGATACTCCTTCGGATAAGGGGAAGGAATTTTTTAATTAGGCTCTAGTTCTGTAGAAAGCCGCGACTGACGACAAGTAATCCATCCGGCTGTATGTGTCAATAAATCTTTTATTAATCTCGTTTCAAGACATGCGTTCTCAGGGTTACATCCACAATATTCCGGTATATACTTTGTCGCTTGATCCTCGACGCTTAGTTTTCCTTGCTCAACTACATGCATAAGAGCATGATTTGTTGCATACATTTTCGTTAATGATGCCAAATCACACTTTGTATCTAATGTTAATAATTGTGGTTGCTCTGTAAATGTTCGATTTTCATTATATTTTAATTTGTGATCATAGACAGTTTGTTTCAGTATTAACATATCCAATTATAACCAGAGCATCACCAAGAAAACTTTGTTGAATTCCACTTTCAATAAATTCATCGACTAGTTGTGCATTGAAAAAAATAGGCTTATCATCAGTCAATACAGTTTAAGAAGTTATTTGACTATTCATCATTCTACTAAGTGCCAAATAAATATAATATTTATGTTTCATCTATATAGAAGATAAGACATTTCCACAGAAGTTATGATTCATCTATTTATCTATTTGTTTAAGCGATAGTACAAAGGTGTATGTTTGACACTTCACACTAAAAAATGAAATAGAGCATGATGCAATTCACACGTTTTTCGTATCTTTTTTTATTAATTCTTTTTATTCCTGTAGTCAATACTCATACATAATAAATTTACTATTGTCTTTTGTGATGCTGAGGGCGATATAGCGAGGTGATATGGTATGTGATAAGCGATGTGAGTGGTGATAAATGAAACTGATTTCGGATGAAAACCTGACAAAAATGCGAGAAGTTTATTCTCTTTCTCCGTCATCTGTGCACTGAATGTAAAGTATTTGAAGTTATAAATCCTAAACGAAATAAGTTGAAAATAATCAACTCATCTAACCCTACATATAGAGTGAATATTGGCCCGATCAACGGCTAGTGTCTAATTCTACCAGAAGTAACTCTTAAGCAGCAAAACGAGTTGATTTGTGTAACTATACGGCTTGACCGGCTAACGGTACACCAAAGTGCGGAAGTATGAAGCGTTAAATGAAGTGGTAAAACTAATCTTATGTGAAAGAGCACACTTTAAAGTGTCGGAAAATAATTTTTGTTTGTTTTTATTAGTACCTGAACACATGGAAAATATTCGGTGAACATGTAATCGAAACAAACCACCCAGCATTTTATTTTATGCACGCATCTACAGAAATATAGAAGAAAAAGCTTCTACAATAAACAGAGCGAAAAAAAGATGAAATTCCGTAACGACTACTCTTTCCTCTTTTCATCACTTGGCAGTAAGAACAAAAAAAAAAGCAAATAGATATTCAAATAGCTCTCATATTTATCGACAACTTCATCGTGAGGGATTTGTTCATAGCACATTTACATTCGGAGCATTTTTTGTTATACTGAAAACATTCGAAAATCACTTCCATTTTTTGAAATTCCGTAACAGTGAGTAATTTCAAGTTTTCTCTCTATAAATGCGAGCCAGATACTTCAAATTTTCACCGCAACTAGAACTTCACTAACTACACTAGTAATAAAATTTTTAATTCTGAGGCTCATCCATGTCAAAAACTAGAGGGTTCAAAATTCTAAAAAATGAAATTCCGTAACGTTTGGCCAAGCCGTATAGAACTGCATTGGCTATTGTTTTATAGCCAAAAGCATGAAACCCATTAAGGAAACTATGTTCACACTTATTTCTTCGTTTAGAAAAGTTTCGATTCTTATTTTTCTGGTTAGTAGCAAATTTTTTGTAAATGAAAACTTAAAACCTTTCAGAAGTTTATTTCTTACATGGTATGGAATATCAAAATAAAAATTATAATACAAGAGTCGAAGATGTACAGTTTGATCCTGATCACAATCGCGACGAACAAAATGTTTTGGTAGCATCGGCTGTCGTGGACGATACAGAAAAGCTCAAGCGTTCGATCACATGGTTAGATGCATTTTGGGTATCAAGTGGTGTGCCTGCTCTTGTTCTATTTTCTATCGGTGCTATTGCAGCAACTGTTGGAAATCCATCTTGGTTCGTTTGGACAATCTCAATCATTATCGGTTTTTTACAGTCATTTGTCTACGCCGAAATTGCAGGACTATTCCCAAATAAGTCAGGTGGTGCATCAATCTACGGAGCTATTGCCTGGGTACGTTATGGTAAGATGCTGGCACCCATTTCTGTCTGGTGTAATTGGTTTGCTTGGTCACCTGTGCTAGCAATCGGAACTGGACTGAGTGCTGGATACATCCTCAGCATGTTTGATTCTAATGCGCTGGTGAACACATGGCAATTTAAAATTCTTAGCCTTAATTTCATTAAGACAGATCTATCGCTGAGGATCAATTCAACTTTTATTATCGGAGCACTATTGATGCTAGTAGTATTTGCTATACAACATCGAGGCATTCTCTCGGCCGCTCGCGTTCAGATGATCTTTGCTATCTCGTCACTATTGCCGCTAATCATCTTAGGTATAACTCCGCTCGTCATTGGCAACGTACATAGTAAACATTTTATTCCATTCGCACCGCTTTTACGCGATGCAACAAATAATGTCACTACTGGAAGTTGGGATAGAGCAGGCATGACGTTATTTACCGGTGGTATGTTCATCGCTGCCTGGTCTACCTATGGTTTTGAGACAGCTGTCTGTTACACAAGTGAATTCAAAAATCCAGGATCAGATACATTCAAGGCAATACTCTCTTCCGGTTTACTGTGTCTATTCGTCTTTACCTTAATTCCGATTACGTTTCAGGGAACACTCGGTCTTAAGGGAATGCTCGATCCGGACATTTATAAAGGAATGGGAGTTGCCAAGGCAATGGCCGAGATGATCGGAGCCGGTAAGATAGTAGCCAATGTTGTGGTTGTGCTGTTGTTGTTATCGCTTCTGCTCTCCATCATGACTGCTATGGCTGGGTCGTCACGCACGCTTTATCAAGGTTCTGTTGACGGTTGGCTTCCAAAGTTCTTATCTCACGTCAATCAGCATGGTGCACCTACGCCTGCGATGTGGACAGATCTTACTTTCAACCTAATCCTCTTGTTAATGTCTGACTATATGTTTGTTCTGGCAGCCTCGAATGTCGGATATATTATCTTCATCTACATGAACTTGAACGCTGCATGGATTCATCGAATGGACCGTCCGCACTGGAAGCGACCATTCAAGGCACCTATTTGGTTGCTCTTAATCAGTGTCATACTTAGCTATGTTAACCTTGTGTTCCTTGGCATGGGATCAGATATATGGGGAATTGGAACGCTTGTCACCGGTTTGGTATTTGCCGCCATGATCATTCCAGTATTTCTCATTCGTCATTATATCCAAGACAAAGGTACTTTTCCTGCTTCAATAACAGATGGCATTAATCTCAGTGACGAGAAAACTGTAAAAAGCCGTGCTGGAATGCTCCCGTATCTTGCCCTTGGGATGGGCGTAGTGGTCGTCATTGTTTCTCGTTTGCTTGCAAAGTACTAAATTATAATACGCTTATATCTGCCAAAGTGCTATTATAGAAATCATATTCTATCTTCAGTTTCAGTGTGACGTCAGCAAAATTATGTGTATTTGTATAGAGTGGTGAGCATAACTTTAACACACTTTTGTTATTGCGTTTTCTTCGAGCCCTGTGTTCTTTCTTTCTTTCTTTACAGTTTTGGTCGATTTTTCCGCCCAACGTTTTCAGTTATCTCTGGTCGTACAGATTTGAGAAAAAGATGATTCAAAAGTAGAAGCATCGTACATGACAGAACTGAAGTTACTTTTCGAATATTTGCTTTAGCTATCCTACAATTAGTGCCACAAAATGAATATATTTTTCAGAAAACTCTATTGTTTTTCCTATTAGATAATTAATTATCACGTGATATCCTGCGTAGTAAATCTATACTTGATATGATGAAAGCTATACGGCCAGTCCACGTAACGGTAGATTTTTTTGGCGAAGTATGATCACAAAATCAAGCAAAATCAAGATGACTATGTTGTAGAGCGTTGTCGATAGTATATAAAAACCTATTTTTTTCTTACTTT